TGGGACCCAGGTGTAATCCTTGCACCTGGTACAGTTGAACCTCACGAGGTTCACCTGGGTCCACTGCTCAGCCTATCTAGATCTCTCTGGATGGCACCCCATCCTCTGTGGGTGCTGACTGCACCACACAGCTTGGTATCATCCACAAAGTGCTGAAAGTACGCTCTATCTCACTGTTGATGTCATTGATGAAGATATGGAGGAACATCAGTCCCAGTACTGGCACAACTCGTGCCACTGATCTACAACAGGACAGTGAGCCACTGACTGTGCTTCAGCCATCTTTCTTCAGTAACCATATCCCCCAGGCATGGCTTTCAACCCAGACATAATCCTACAGGCTCTTCTCTCTGTTATTCTTCTTGAAACTGTCAGATGACAAAAGTAAGTAACACAGCTCAAGTCTGAATTTCTTCCTCCTCCTCCCTCTAAAAGAAAGTTTGCTGTGGCTCTCTTGAGCTTAGAAACCCAAGTACCTTTGCTTTTCTGCAGTGGATGCACCACTCACTGAGCTACAGAACACACACCAAAACTGGATGTTGAGACTAAGAGATTTCTGCCTATTCTAGGTCCTGCAGGTTTTGTCCCTCACTTGGCAGTCTTATCTCTTCCTTGGCTATCGACATCAAACTGGACAAAGGCAGATCAGATAGTGTCAGAGTAAAGGCCTCCAAGAACTGAGCTCACTGACCTCAGCAGTGACAAGAAGGATTTAGGTGTCTAACCTACCTGAGGAAGGACAGAAATAGGTAAGAAGAGGGGTGTAGGAAGTGGAATGAGACTGGAGACAAAGAGGCAAAATTGGAGTGAGAACAAGAACCAGTGGACGTATCAAAAGTTGTGAATGTAATTTTATGATGATAAGAAGTAGAGATCCTTGGGTTAAGTTGCCTGAGGAAAGTTTGGGAGTTATAAAGAAGATGATGAGACAGCAATGCTTAAGAACAGAGCGTTTAAATGAAAAGAATGACCCTTGCATCTCTTTTGCAGACACGCTTCTATAGTTTCCAGTGCCTCCTGTATGGTCTACTGGTTTCAGTCTCAAAGTTCAAGACAGAATTTATGTTATCCTTGCTAAATTTATGCCCCCAGACATCTCTACCAATGTAAAACACTGACACATAAGTCATTAAACAGTAACTAGGAGAACATAAAATTAATGCATTTTGGTACTGCCCAGTAGATATTTTATGAGGGTAAAATTGAGGAGAGTTGTCACTTCCAACATTTCTGAGAAGTGGAGCTCATCCCTCAACTTCTACACCTCTTGGTGCAGAAGTGCCATTATTGCTTGAAAGAGCTTCAGGTAGAAGCTTGCTTGAATTATCTTCTCTTCAGTTCAGCTTTTGCTGAAAGGCAATGGATTGGGCCAGCCTTGTTCCTGTGGGCTTACTGTTCATCCTAATTCTCCTGCTGATTCTGAAAACACAACATTTCTGGAGGAGCCAAGTGAAATTCCCCCCAGGACCGCAGCCTTTACCCATCATTGGAAATCTGCACATGATGGACCTAAAGAAACTTGGCCAGACAATGCTACAGGTAACTTCTGTTGCTCCTTTCCTTAGAGCTCTCACTCCAAGTCCGTCACTGACTTCTTGAAAGGGATAACAGAGATCTCAAGGCATGGAAATTGCAAACACAACAGTATTATTCTTTGCAGTGGCTTCTCTTCCTACTATGTGATACTGTGTAGTGCAGAGCAATTGGCTTGCAACTACATTATCGAGGGAACTGAGCTAAAACAGAGGAAATGTTAGCACTCTTCAGGCAAGGGTGACAAGAAGAGAGGGATCCCGGATCTCTCACAATTACAGAAACTTCACCAGGGACTGCTGAAACAGTTAGGGAAGGGACCAGAGCTTTCTGAAAGCTGTTTGCTGGACTCAGGCACCAGGAAACTGGCAAACAAATTTTTGATCCTCTCTCTTGATGGAGAAAACTTTCTGGTTTCCCAGAGCAAACTAGGAAAAAAACCTCACTGCTTATTCTTTCATACCTCGTAGCAGGAAACTCAGGGCTCTTGGGATAATAGTGTATAGCAGACAGATATTTTAGGATTTGGGCATTCCTCACTGAACTATTCCTCAAAGCCATGAACAGCAAACATAAGGGTTTCTGGCAGTTCCCGTGCCTTGATGCATTACCAGCTTGGAAATCAATCTCATTTTGGTTAGCTATGCATTTCCAATGAGTGACAGAATCAGTGTAGTGGACATTATTAGGCCCACTGAAAATCTTTTATTCAAATACCCAATTAAGCATTACAGATCCTATTGTGATTCTTCTAAATCACAGAAGCTCCAACACTTGCAGCATGAATTCCCAACATTTTGGAAAGCAGATGCAAAGCCAGTGCCATGTGGGAAGAAGAACGTTGAACCTGCTGAATAACAAGTGTTTTTTGCTTTGCCAATCATGTTCCTGCCCTTTCTTTTCATTTTACTAGCTTTCTGAAACGTATGGCCCAGTCTTCACAGTTCAGCTGGGACTGAGGAAAGTGGTGGTGCTGTCAGGATATGACACAGTGAAGGAAGCTTTGGTGAATCATGCGGATGCATTTGCTGGGAGGCCTAAAATACCAATCATAGAAAAAACAGGAAAAGGAAAAGGTGAGTGGGCTGTTCTCACATTTTCTGTCCCCGTCCTTTTCAAGAGGCGCAGGTGATAGTGAAGCATGATGAACCTGATGAACCTCAGCAGTCCATCAGTGTGAAACCATCACAGAGTGCATGAAGACTCTTTGCTTGAATTGTTGTGTATGTGTTTTAATTTTCCATTTCAGGAGTTGTATTTTCTCGTGGAGAAAACTGGAAAGTGATGCGAAGATTTACTCTTACAACCTTACGAGACTTTGGGATGGGAAAGAAGGCCATAGAAGATCATGTTGTAGAAGAGTACGGATACCTGGCAGACGTAATTGAGTCACAGAAAGGTAGGGAGATTCTTAATTTGATAGCATGTACCCGACTTTTCTCTGAAAGCATTTTCAGGAATACCAAAGGATGAAGGAAGAAGAGGTACATCATTCTCCAATATCAGTGCTGTGATGAGTACACATGAGTTGTGTCTGTCTCCTTGTATCTCTACCTGGCAATTGCCTGGTGTGTAAATGAAAACTTTTATTGAAGCACTGGAAGACAAACACAGAGTTCAATTCAAAACAGTCCAGTTGAGGAAAAGGCCTTATTATGTCACATCCAGCACCTCCATAAAGGACAGACGTGGACTCAGGAGAAAAGTAGAAGGCAATTGCAGGGTTGCGCATATCTAGACTGAAAAATTGATTGCCCGTCAAGGCATATGTCTGCAAAACGCCTTCCAGTAGAAGACAGAAGATTCCCTTATACATTTCTCCAGCATCATCCAGGACTTTTTGTCACTAGGTTAGTTACCAACAGCAGCACTTAGAATGGAATCACAGACTGATGGAGTGGCCTGGCTTGGAAGGAACCTCTACAGACAATCTAGTCCAGATTCCCTGGGAAATGTAGGAAAACCTTCCACTAGATCAGGTTGCTCAGAACCTCCATCCAGCCTGGCCTCGAGTTCCTCCAGTGATGGCACCCACTACTTCTCCAGGCATCCTGCCCCATTGCCTCATCATCCTCATTGTGAAGAATCCCTTTTTTATGTCCACTACCCTGTTTCCATGTTAAAACACTACTTCTTGTCCTATCACTACATCCCCTTTTACAAAATCTCCCTTCATCTTTCTTACAAGCCAACTCTGTGCCTATCATTTCCCAGACTTCAATGGGGCTCTACCTGCTGTTGTTGCATTTTAATTGATGGCAATAACCATTGATTGTGTTGTTTGCATCATCTTTTCCTTTGCTAGGGAAGCCCCTTGAGATGACTGAGCTGATGAATTCTGCTATTGCTAATGTCATTGTGTCCGTATTGCTTGGAAAGCGGTTTGACTACGAAGACCCCATATTCAAAAGGCTTGTGTCACTGATGAATGAAAATATGAAGCTTTTTGGAAGTCCATCAGTGTCGGTAATTGATCTGGTTGAATGTTTCTCTTCAAAATCATGCATAACACAGAGTATTAACAGTGCATCTACCCCCAATCACTGACATTCATCTATCTGTATGTGACAAATGCATCCTGAAGTGGCAGGAAACAGACCTTTGGTACTACATACGGGTTTCTCTTAGTCTGGGCAAGTGTAGCTTGACTTCATAAAAAACAACTGAAGAGCATGCTACACGAAAAAAAGGAAAGTGTCCCCAGGTGATAGAAGTTGCCCTTCATTTCCTATCTCCCAAAGAACAGTGTCAAAACTGTGGAAATGTCTGCAACTGTCTCTTAAATTGTAAACATCTCTTGAGACACCCAACTCCAACCAAGCTGGAGAGGGAGGGATGAGAAATCTAAGAGTGGAGAGGTAGGAAATTATATCCAAGACATACACATAAATATGGGATTTCTAGGCCATCAGCTAGTGTGATTTATATATTAGAGAGAGTAAATTTTATCAATTTTACTTAGTTGGGTGTGGAAGAGATGGGTAAAGAGTGCTTTGTGACAAGATTATAAGGCTATATAATATTTTCTGTGCGGGGTTTTGTTGAGAAGCACTGTTGAATAGTGGTACATCTACTTAGTAGCTGCTTTTTCTTCCTCTGCATCTGTGCATCTTACAGCTGTACAATATGTTCCCCATCCTTGGATTCTTCCTGAAGGACAAAAAGAATTTTCTTGAGAATTTAAAAGAAGTCAACAATTTTATCAAGGATACTTTCACAAAGTATCTCAAAGTCCTGGACAGAAATGACCAGAGGAGCTTCATTGATGCTTTTCTTGTCAGACAACAAGAGGTAACGGAATGCCAGCAGCCTCCTCACATCACCTTGCTTCTCTTTCAATGAATGCATACACTCTTTGATATGCTCTGCTCCATGGCCCAGGGGACAGAAAGCTTGTCTTCCTCACTTGGATAAACCCAGCGAGTGCTCCCTGTACTTCAAAGTATTCTTGTTAACACTGAAATAAGCCTTGCTGACTTGACTGTGTGTTCCTCTGGGCAGCAGAGTCACTCCAAGCACTCAGTATTTCAAGACTCAGTTTAATACAGACTTCTGAAGGCATTGCCTCAAAACTTCCACTTCCTTCACACTTTTAATTCCTCCCTGACATTTGTCTATGAACTTTTTCCCCTGTTTTCCAAAATTAAAACAGTGCTTCTTGACTATTTAACCGGCTGTTTGAATTATTGTGTTATTTTTCCAGGAGAATGGAAATGAAAATACATTTTTTGATGATGTAAACTTAATTGAGGTCGTGAGAAATCTGTTCATAGCTGGCATGGATACCACAGCCACCACTTTGCGCTGGGGCCTTCTGCTCATGATGAAATATCCTGAAATTCAGAGTAAGTGGAAACTGGGCGCTCAGTGGCTTTCTTCTCCTCAGGTCCCCTTGCCCTGAACCAAAGCAGGGCTGAATAAAAAGCCAGTTCTCCTTATCCCAGTATTCCTAGCAGAGGAAAGAGAGAGTTGAACAATGCATGTATGATCCCTGTGCTCTTTTCAGAAAAAGTCCAGGAAGAGATAGATCAAGTGATCGGATCAAACCTCCCAAGAACCGAGCACCGAACTAAAATGCCATACACAGATGCTGTTGTGCACGAAATTCAGAGGTTTGCTAATATCCTGCCATTGAACTTGCCTCATGAGACTACCATGGATGTCGCTATCAAAGGCTATTTCATTCCCAAGGTAAGACACCAGCAGCACTTCTTTCCTTCCCTCTCTCCCCGGTGGGACACCTCTTTCTTTCCAGACTGCCTTGCATCCAAGGATGCTCACTCACTGTGAGGTGCTCACAGCTACTTCTACTACCCTGTTCATGTGATAACATGATAATATGTTAATATGTTATATTTCTTCAGTCCAGCATTCACCACCGCTCCCAGCAACACCACTGTTAGCGCAATAACTGCTCTACCTTGGTTTGCAGGGAACCTATGTCATCCCCTTGCTCAACTCTGTCCTGCAAGACAAAACCCAGTGGGAGAAACCGTGCTCCTTCTACCCTGAGCATTTCCTCAACTCGGAGGGGAAGTTTGTAAAGAAGGATGCTTTCATGCCTTTTTCAGCAGGTATGTTCTATTCTGCTCTTTGGGCTCTGAACTGGGCATCTGCAATTCTCTCTTTCTCACAGAAGCTGATATGCCACACTTTTCCCAGGTGTTACCTCTCCTTCTCTCTCCACCTACATCTGCTAACTTGAATAGCCCAGCTTTACCCATGGACTCAGACTCTGAATTCACTCCCGTATGACATAAAGCCCCTCACAACTGGAAAACAAAAAAAAAGGAAAGGAAAGGAGCACAGCTCCCATTGACTCTTACAGACCATTCTGCATTTCTTTGCAGGGCGGAGGATCTGTGCTGGTGAGACTCTTGCCAAAATGGAGCTCTTCCTTTTCTTCACCAGCCTTCTGCAGAGGTTCACCTTCCAGCCTCCTCCTGGAGTTTCCCCCTCAGACCTGGATCTCTCTGCCACCACTAGGTTTGTCGTTGCCCCAGTCACTCATGAGGTCTGTGCAGTGTCACGTTCCTAGGGACTTTTATCAGCTGCCTTCTTTTCCTGGGACACTCAGATGAAATATCTCAGTTCACCTCTATTCCCACCAGGCAAGCCTGGTACTTCTGAAGCTAGTAGGTGATTTCTTGCCCAGGCACACCTTGACTCGTAGCAAGAGGTGTGTCACCCACCATTCCAAAAGTTCGCAGTCCTGACCTTCTGCCACTCATTGAATAAGCAAATTGATGGTCCCTGTGAGGATGAATGAGTCCATTCCGCATGTTCCCCTCAAGAAAAGAGCCTGGGACCAGACTGTGCTGACTCTGTGTCCAGAGCTCATGGGGTGTTGCACA